AGCCCTAAGATCCTGAACCAACCTATATGATCCATCAGCCTTTTTTACTGGCAAAATGGGGGTATTATGTGGGGACATACATGGTTCCAGCATCCCCTTTTGGAGCAGCCTGTCTATAACTGGTTTGAGTCCTCTTCTCCCCTCCAATGGGATAGGATATTGCCTAATCCTTATTGGCTGTTGTGGATCCACTATTTCTACTACCAAGGGTTCCATATCTACTTTTCCTGAATCTCCCTCTTGATACCATACCTGTGGGTCTATTTCTCCCTCATCTTCTTGGGTTAGGGTATATAGCTGAATTTTTAATTCTCCCCCCTGGCTCTTGATTTCCAACCCTAATCTTATTATTAAGTCCCTTCCGAATAGATTGTGCTCAGCCTCAGGCACCAGCAATAGGTCATTGAGACATAGTTTCTTTTCTGATTCCGTTTCTATATTTTCCAATATAGGAACCTTAAAGGGCTCACCTTTTGCTCCTACTACCATGGTATTCCTCTTTCCTTCCTTAACCCCTTCTGGTAATTTTCTAATAGTTGATTTCTCCGCTCCAGTATCTACCAAAAAATACACCTCTTCCCTCTGGGGACCTATTAATAATTTTATCAAGGGCTCATTGGAGAGGGATAGAGAACAGGGGCCGTGGGCAATCGACTTTCAAAATGTGGTGGTTCCGGTTGCCATGAATAGGGAGGGGGTATATTATCCAGAGGTTCCCATTCTTCCTTTCCCCTGTCAGTTCTTGTATTTAAAGCAAATATTTGTTTTGGGGGAAATGCGTTTGAGGCTCCTACCCATAGAGCCGCATAATCGCTTTCTTCTTGGTTAAAAGGCTCCTTAGAATTTAATGCCTGACATACCCAATCCTCAAAGGATCCAAAAACTGGCCAAAAAACATGTGGCCTTAAATGTTCCTTTGGCCATTTTATCATACAAAATTGAGCCATTTTCTCTTTATTTTTTCCTTTCCTCGATTCCCAAACATCCCAATATTTTAACATTATCCCTAATGGGCTTTCTGGTGGAATGTCTGGGCTCTCTGAGTCTCCCAGGTCGGAGAATCTAATTTCCCCCAGACCCATCCTGGAACCTTCAAATAAGTTCCGAATCCCTGGAATCCTCTAAGAGGTTCCGAATCCCTGGCCGAATCCCTGGAAGCTTAAAATAAGTTCCTAATCCCTGGAAACCTTAAAGAGGTCCCGAATCCCTGGCTGTGTTTGTGTAGAGGTGTCTTGCAAGTGGTTAACCCACCCACGAATTCCTAGACCAATCGCTTCGGTCCTTCACTGGCCGAGTCCCTCGCGTGAGATCGGAACCGCGGTTAGAAGACCTCTCACTCTCTTCGGAACTACGTTCCGTCTCAGTCACACCCTTACACACAGTCACACAGCCGAATCCCACCCAACCGAACGGTATACTCACAGATCCTCTTCATTCAGGTCTTCGCGTGCAAGATTACGGGTCACTGACGGAGAGCTCTTATTTTTTTTTTTTTTTTCCCTTGCCTCATGTTCGAAATCTTATTGAACTCTAGCGCCGCTATCGGCAAGGGCCACTAGGTGGGGCGCCTCCCTTTACCGATCGCATATACAAGAATATCACGTCGGGGTCACCAATTTGTTATAAATGAAATCTCAACTCTGAATTTAGTAACATAAAAAAATATTTATAAAAGGCAAGTAAACAGCGCTGGGTGCGCAGGGAGTCTATGCACTACCAACACGCACACGCAACCGTCGAACTTTCCAAATATATATAGGACATTGCTGTTACATATTTACAAGAAACCCAATTATGCCTATACATATGGATATCCTATCCCCACTTCATATTATAATTCTCTTTGTGCTGGTCGTTGTGGGTGAAAGGCTCACAGTTTCCCCATCACCATTAGCAACCTTTTGTTCCAGACTGCAGGAGCGGCTTCAACTGTCTCCCTCTTCTTCTGCGCATGCTCTGCCCACCACAAGGTTCCCAAAAGCAACAAAATGTGATTGCTTTTCCCGCATTTCGTTAACCCTTGAAACCACACTAATAATATTATTATCATATAACATTAAACAATAAATGTTAACAGTTCTAACCAGCAACCCCCCCAGCAACTTCCGTGCCTTAACAGAGGGGAAAACAAGCAACCCCAGACGGCAGGGCGTCGCCTCAATCACCCTTCTTTGTTTCCTCTAAACTCTTTACATTCCTGATGACCTCATCCTTAAGAGTCTGATGTTATCACCAACCTCGAGGCTTTCCGACCCCCATTGCCCCATTCCCAAATCACCCCCTTCTTTATTAATATCAACCATTTTTCTGACACGAATTACCACTCCATATATAATAAGGTGATAATGAGGAGATGGAAAGCAAAGAAAGCAAAGAAGAAGAAGAAGAAACATACCAAATAACACCTTAGAGAAAGGTTTTGCAAAAATCAACAGTTTATAAAAAAAGAAAAGGGGGGAACTGTAGGAATAGAAATGTTGTTTTTGCAGAGTTACATTGTTTAGAAAGAAGGAATGTGATACTGAAATATGCTTACAGTGATATGAAAGCTTAAGCAGGTGACCTTGTAAAATGCAGACAACCAGACTCCTTGGGACAATTAGGTGAAAATCACGGTGTTAAGTCAAGTCAGATAAGTGAAGAAACATTACCACTTCAAACAGTAAAAATGGCAAATGGAAATTGAAATTTAACAGGCCGGCTACTGAAGGCCATGCATTGTTTGTGAAGCATCAGATAGATTGTGAACCTGGATTACCCACTCAGTGGGGAAACAGGGGAGGGTCCTGTCCTCAAAAAGTATATAAACTGTGTTTTGAAACTAGTAGATGCGCTCTCTCCTGCTTGTGGGGCGCCTGCCATTGCAATCGCGAATAAATTACTACTTCACTGAGATCCTCGCCTGAGCCTAAGTTATTGGCTACAGAGTGTTTCTCACACACTGCCACCTTGTCATTTTTAGTTGCAGAGTCCCACACCTTGACCTCAGTTTGGGCCCATGTTTCAGGATCATAAACTGTCTGATTGTTAATAAGGAGAATAAGCTGTAAGGTTACCAGGACAGTCTGTGTTTCTAAGGACATACGACTCCCCATAATGCGCAACTTCGGCCAGCGAGGGGTAATTGTGCGTGTAGGTCAGCTTCTCTCAGCTCGAGCTTCTTTCCAGCTCCAGTGCACCTATTTCCAGAGACTTTCTTCTTTGAGCGGTTTGCTGAGCTTGGCCGAACCTATCTTCATGAGGCGATCAATGTCCCTGTTCCTGTCCTGGTCCCTGTTCTGCTAGCCTGTCCCTATTCATTTCTTTTTTTTTTTTTCTACTTCTTTATTGATGACATAACTTCATTATATCGAGTTGCCTTTTTTTTTTTAACTTGAGGACAGGTTCCCCTCTTATACCCTTCTCCCCACAGCAGTTCTTTTCAAAAACAACTTTTCATTGGTCAAACAACTTTGCCTGGCAACCAGCAAACACCCAGCAACTTCCATGCCTTAAGGGCTGTAGAACTGCAAGAGTCCAAGACTGCATGGAGTCTCCTGAATCACCCTTCTCTGTTCCCTCTAAACTCTTTTACATTCCTGATGGCCTCATCGTTAAGAGTGATGTTACCATCAACCACTGGGCTTTTCTGACCCCCATGGCCACACTCCCACATCTCCCCCTTCTTTATTAATATCAACCATCTTCTTGACACAAATTATTACTCCATATGTGATTAAGGAGGTATTGGGGAGGCATTGGGGAGGCAAGGACAATCCCCAGACATGGACTGTATATCTCGAAACAAGACACTGGAACTCATGATAAGGAAGCGGCAGACGGACAGAGAAACAAATGTAAGGACTATAAATCTCAAAATTGGACATTGGAATTCATTATAAAGATACAACAAACGGAAGAATTGGCAACAACCAGCTCTCGCAATTAAGAAACGTGCCAATTCAGCAGATTCCTGACCAAAGGTGAAAAGTACACTGTGAGGAAGACTCAGGGTCTTCCTCCCAAAGACCCCTGCCCACGTCCCAAAGACCCCTGCCCACAATTCTTGGGAGGCTCTACGCAGGTGCAAGGTGCCAAAAGGCTAATTAGCATGAGAAGCGAGGGAAGGTGGGGATAGGTAATGCATATGTATAGGCGCTTGTAGAATATTGATAGATTGATTGTATAAATTCAAGACTGCTTTCAGCTTTGGGTATGCACGATAGGTGGAGAGATCCCCCGTGCATCCAGCGCTGCAATAAAGAATATACCACTTAAAGGAATTTCGGCTTCAATCTTTGAATCATATGTTACCTATTAATGTAAAAGTTTATGCATCGCATCCTAAAATTTAGGGTCCATTGTCCTGGTTTCAGTTAGAACAGAGTTAATTTTCTTCCTAGTAGCTGGTGGAATGCTGTGTTTTGGCTTAGGATGAGAAGAGTGCTGATAACACCCTGATGTTTTAATTGATGCAGAGCAGTGCTTATACCAAGCCAAGGACATCTCAGCCTTTTGCTCTGTCCTGCCAACAGGCAGGCTGGGGGTGCAGTAAGAGCTGGGAGGGGACAGACCCAGGACAGGTGATCCAAACTAGCCAAAGGGGTATTCCATACCATCTGACGTCATGCTAAACAATATATAGGGGTGGCTAGCCGGGGGAGGGGGCCGGACTGCTCGGGGTGAGGCTGGGCATCGGTCAGCAGGTGGTGAGCAATTGCATTGTGCATCACTTGTTTGTACATATTATTAGTAGTAGTACTATTATAATCATTGTATTATTATTATTATTATTATTATATTGTTACTATTATTTTCCTGTCTTATTAAACTGTCTTTATCTCAACTCACAGGCTTCACTTTCCATTTCTCTCCCCTGTCCCAGAGACGGAGGGGGAGGGTGAGCGAACGGCTGCGTGGTGTTTAGCTGCCGGCCGGGTTAAACCACGACATCCATGAATAAAGGCTAATTGTATTTTCTAAGTCAAACAAGCTATAGAGAAGTGGGAACAGCGTGTGGATGGTGTTCAAGTGTTACTGTTTAATATATCACTCTAGGCAAATAACGCAAAAAAGTCTATATACTCAGGACTGTTTACATATGAATAAATAGGGAAAATTAGCAAATACAGTATTTAAAATTATTTACAAATATGTGTTTTACCAGGTATTCACTGTTTGTATCAAGTTTTAATGCAGAAAGTTGAGGACGATACCAAAGCGTATGAAAGAAAAACTATTTAAATAAAGATGTTTTAAAATTCTCCTTAGAAAACAAACAACTGAACTGAAACAAAGCCTAAAGCCAATAGGTGGCCTTACCAGCAAACATCTTCAATCAAAAGGCCATAACAGCTATGTTTTAACCATTACTTGATTTATTTTACACCATGAGGTAAAAGCAACACATTTCCTTTTAGTAAAGTATACACAAATAGCCTCACTCAGAATACACTTTAAATGCACATAAAAAAAAAAAAAAAGTATTCATCTTACAAATTGTTTTACAAACCAAATATACAATAGCTTTGAAAACACTATTTTAGAAAACAAAATCCAATGTAAAAAGACTGCTTAAAACAACTGAAATGATAAAGATTTCTGTATGGCTATCTTTAAAGTTTTCTTACTGCATCGTCAATATCAGAAATCTGTTCCTTCAGCTGGTTCCACTGTTCTGGATTTAAAGAAATACCTGAAATGTATTAGAAACAAACACTTAGTACAAAAAGAAAATTGTAATTCAGGATCTTGCATATTTACAACCAAGACTGATTTCATACACAAAGACTGTCACAACTATTAATGTTTGAGCTACATCAAGTGTAATAAGTCTCAGCTGCAGAGTTAAACTACTCAGAACACTTCAGTTTAGACCTTTAGCCCATCTCTGGACAGGTTTACCTTAAAAAGAAAATGGGTACAATACAACATCCATTCACAAGTGTTTTGCTAAACGCAGGAAGAGAAAGAGCTCTTGCCCTGATAGGGGGCAGCACAAAATGAGGTGAGATGTAGGAAACCAATTCTATTTCAGTTGGCTGCTAAAAGCCAAATACCTCTGTGGACTGAACTAAGTATTTTTGATATACTATAATTCTGTCTTGTTTTCTTTTCTTGTGAAAACCTGTGGAATTCTTTCTTAAAGCACTGTGAATAACGTATGCTATAAGTAATATTTTAGAGAAGCTTTATTCTATTCCCTAGCACTCAAACCAACATGGAATATCACTACAGATTCTTGTGACATTCAATCAACCACTCAGTACCCCACAACTCATCTCCTCAGTTCTGAATTTTTACTTCCTCAAGCTCCAGTCCAGGCACACATTTCCATTGTGTATTAGCCTCCTCCTTCTTCCCCTACTAATCTCTATGCCAACTCTATGTAAGTAGAGGCTCATAGGCCTACCTCTCACCCTCTCCAGCCAGGCTCTTCTACTATTTACCCCCTTTCTCCCCCCCTCAGTGATCAGGCTTCTTTCATTGCTTTCTCCCTGTAGGTGGAGCAGGACCTGAAAACAGGTAAAACTATGAATTCCACTTTTGGGGCTCATCACCCCCCCCCCCCCCCTTCTACTACTAGTGCTTTATCAGAGTACTGTTATTTTGAGCAGCAAGAAGTCTGCACTGTTACTTTTTCTAACTAGTTCTCCCACTAGTCTTTAGGTGGAAGATGTGTTTTGAAAACAGTTTGGTCAGGCATGCTAACCATTATTGGGGGACCAAATGTCATCAAGTTGCCCCTGAACAACATACAATATGAACTGTATGCAGGCATGAAGTTTAGAACTGCTATATGAAATAAAGGTATATTGTCATACATAAAGGTATATTGTCATGGTATATGACAAAGCAGTTCCTAACTGTTGGTTTTTTTTTCCCTTGTTTATTATAAAATTTCAACTGTTTATACTGTTTGTAGGATAGCTACGTAAGCAGCTTGTAAGCACATCACTGGAACATTAAACACTCATGCTATCAGATTATTAACTTTATCCTAATAAAATCCAGTCCTGTTTCCCACAATGATAAACATTTCTATCTACATCATGTAGATCATCACTTTGCCTGCCCATCAAGTTTTGTTGTTGCTTCCCACTCAAGCTTTTGATTGATGTGATACACTAGTCTTTAAACACCAGAGTCATGATTTTTGTTAGACAGCAGCAACACATCCAAGAAAGAATTTTTCCTGTAAGGTACCCATAATACCCTGCTCATGCAAACCTATTATCAGTTGTTATCTATGAGATTTTGAAAATTCTGAAGCTTTCCAAACGTCTATTCACTGCGCTGCTCCCAGATACATCACAAAAATATAAATGCCTTTAATCTTCAGAACAGAATGTTTCACACTTACCTCTTTCCTTTACATAATATGAAAAATGAGTGAAGTAAGCTTTTCTAAAGAAGCAACATGACATTAAGGAAAGCACTACTGCAACTATCAACTCATCCTCATCTTGCAGGTGGCCAAAGTTCCACAAACAGTTCAGTGAAAGGATGACATAAAATTAAGCATGGGAGTAGAAATTAAAGGTGTAAAGGCTTATGCTGTGTTCCAGATTAGACAGACACAAAGTACCAAAGCTCAAGCACTTCAAGTGTTTTCACGTCAGCTAAAATCTTGATCCCCCCACCCAAAAAATTAGTCATATGGAACGTTTCTATTATTTTAATCTGAAATTTGATAAAAATGAAGAACACAATTGTTTTAAATTATTTAACATCTTATTCCAACTAAACCCAAACCTTTTCAGACAAATTAGAAATAAGAAAATCTGACCTCTGTTAGAGGCAAGAAATTGAGTTAATTAAGAGGAGAAAAAGTATGGTTACATTCATAGCTCCCACAATAAATTTGCTTGTATCTGATGCCTTGTTTCTCTAAATTATGCAGGATCCATTTAGAAAAAACAGACTCAGGCCAACAAAAACACTTCTCTTTTGTTTATAATGTACAGATACAGAACAATACCTTTTCTGCCCGGCTTCATTTCACCTTCTTGATCCATCCAGTACTCTCTAATATCAATTAAGACTTTCCCTTTAAAGTCACGAACACTGACATACCTCATTTTACCAATCTGTCAAAAACACATAGAAGGATCTATTAGGTTTTTCACATATTAGAGCATTCACTTTTCCAAACAGTATTAGACTCAGACATATGACATTACCCACTGCAGCTTATTTTAGACTAATAGTTAATGACAATATAAACGAAGGACTTAAAAAACAGTTGAACATTCAATACATTTCTGCAAATGGGGCTCCTTCTAGAATAAAAATACCTATGTTCTTACCAAGTTGAATTCCTACAAAAGCCACTAATTTCATAGAATACCCCGAGTTGGAAGGGACCCATAAGGGACCACTCGTTGGCATGTTATGCAACTATTACACACCTGTTTAGCTACGGTATACATGCCTACACATATATATTTTCTTACTCCCCAGTGGCTTCCTTAATGTAGAACAGCTAAAATTTCCCTCGTTATTTATTTACCATTTCTCTCCCATCACGGAGAATCCACCGTCTTTTGGACTCCTTTGCTCCTAATTCCCTAAAGGCTTCTATTTCTTTTTCACTGAATATTTGCTTTTCAGGTGGAAGTTTTATTTCAGGTACAAGAAGCAGCTTTGCTTCTACTTCTAATTGCAAAGCTGATTCTTTAGCCTTTTCATCTGCAATTCTGTTTCCCCATTCAACTAGGGAGTTTCCTTTTTGATGTCCTTTCACATGCACCACAGCAATCTCTTCTGGTAGTAACAGATTTTCCAAAATCTGTCAAATTAATTCTTCATGGACCAATTCCTTTCCCTTGCTGTTTACTAAACCCCTTTCTTCTCAAATTTTTCCAAATGTATGTACCACCCCACATGCATATCGCGAATCTGTATATATAGTTCCCTGTTTCCCTTGTAACAACTTTAATGCTTGATTTAATGCATATAATTCACAAGTTTGAGCTGACCAATTACTAGGCAGTTTTCCCATTTCTTCGACATTCCCATTTGTTCCTTCAATAATGGCATAACCGTTACATCTCCTTCCTTGTACCACCCTAGAAGATCCATCTATAAACAATATTTACCCTTCTTCTAAGGGCACCTCTTGTAAATCTGATCTTATCTTTGTCTGGTGATTTATTGGATCTTCAATTCCCTTTGACAAGAAGGAGGCGGGATTCAAAACAGGTTCTGTAGTTATAGTTAAATCATCCTTTTCAATTAGTATAGCTTCAGATTTTAGTATTCTGGAGTCTGACAGCCACCTTCCTGCTTTCTGAGTGACAATAGTCTTCACTTGGTGAGGGGTAACAACAATCAGTTGTCCTCCAAAGGTCAATTTCCTGCTCTCGTCTACTAATAAGGCAGTTGCTGCTACTGCCTGAATGCATTCTGGTCATCCCCAGGACACGGGGTCTAATAATTTAGACAAATACGCTACAGGTTTCTTCTTATCTCCCCATTCTTGGGTTAACACCCCCAAAGCAGCACCCTCACTTACAGTTATAAAAAGATAAAATGATTTCTTTAGGGCAGGAAAAGCTAAGACTGGTGCCGTGATAAGGTCTTTTTTAATTTTTCCATTACTTTTTCCTCTTTAGTCCAGTTCAGTATATTGGGTTCTTCCTACAATAATTTGAGATATAATTTCTTTGTTTTCTGCACATATGCTTCTATCCACAGTCTGCAATATCCAATTAAACCCAAAAATTTTCTCAACTCCTTCTTTGTTCTAGGGAGAGGAAGTTGCACAATTCCCTGAATCCTTTCAGGGTTTACTCTCTGTCTGCCTTCAGAGATTAAATGTCCCAAATACCTAACCTCTTTTTTTACATACTGTAATTTATCTTTAGATGCCCTTAGCCCATGTTCTCCTAAAAAAAAATCAGGAGTTTGTGGCTTCTTTTACCTCTGATCTTTCTACCCCAGATATCAATAAATCATCTACATACTGTAACAATGTCATCCCTTCTGGAATCTGAAACGTTTCTAAAATCTTTTACAATTCTTGTCCAAGCAAACTGGAGGATTCAGTGAATCCTTGAGGCAAAACAGTCCATTTATATTGTTGTTTACAGCCTATTTCCGGGTCTTCCCATTCAAATTAAAAAATATCCTGACTTTCAGGATCCAGTGGGCATGCCCAAAAGGCATCCTTTAAATCTATAACACTGAACCATTTGTGCTCATAAGGGATTTTACTCATCAGGGTATAAGGGTTAGGAACCACAGGGTGGCGCTTTCGTGTTATCTCCTTAAATTTTCTCCAGTCTTGTACTAATCGGTACAAACCACCTGGCTTTCGTACTGGTAAAATTGGAGTGTTATATGGTGACATACAAGGCTCCAAAAGACCATCTCTAACTAAAGGTTGCACTATAGGTTTCAGGCCCATTTTTCCTTCACAAGAGATAGGATACTGCCGTTTTCTAACTATTCAGCTCCCTTCTTGAACAGTTATCTTTAAGGGAGTTATATTACAGAATTTCTAGGTTGGAAGAGACCTCAAGATCATCGAGTCCAAAGCCCTCCTCGATTTCCTTCCCTTACCCATACCATGGGATTTATTTCTTCTTCATCATTTTCTGTTAATAATTTCATTGAGACTGTTATTCCTTTTTCGCAGGTCTTCAATTGTAATCCTAATTTGACTATTAAATCTCTCCCTAATAAACTGGTCCCCGCTTCAGGTACATATAACAATTGCCCAGTGACAGTTTTAGCTCCCCAGTATAATTGAGTAGTTTCAAAAAGTGACACCACCATACCAAATCCTTCTACCCCTGTACTCTTAAAGTATTACTAGTCAAATTGAGTCCTGATATTTTATAAGCTAAAGACGATCTGGCTGCTCCTGTATCTACTAAGAATACAGCCTCTTCTTTATTAGGTCCCATCTCTAAATTTATCAAGGGCTCTCAGTGGGACCACTGTCCAGAGAACCCCTTGTGGGAATAGAAATGTTGTTTTTGCAGAGTTACATTGTTTAGAAGGAGGGAATGTGGTACTGAGATATGCAGTGATAAGAAAGTTTAGCAGGCGACCTAGTAAAATGCAGACAACCAGTCTCCTTAGGACAATTAGGTGAAAATCACGGTGTCAAGTCAAGTCAGATAAGTGAAGAAACATTACCACTTCAAGCAGTAAAAATGTCAAAAGAAATTTGAAATTTAACAGGCCGGCAACTGAAGACTATGCATTGTTTGTGAAGCATCAGATAGATTGTGAACCTGGATTACCCACTCAGTGGGGAAACAGGGGAGGGTCCTGCCATCAAAAGGTATATAAACTGTGTTTTGGAACTAGTAGATGCGCTCTCTCCTGCTTGTGGGGCGCCCGCCATTGCAATCGCGAATAAATTACTACTTCACTGAGATCCTCGCCTGAGCCTAAGTTATTGGCTACAGAGTGTTTCTCCCAATTTGGGGGCTCGTCCGGGATCCAGTCACCTACTGGGGAGCCCCACCGCCGCAGCAGCAGGAAGGCATGCCCCGCTGATTTCAGCGGTCCTGTGCATCGACGGTGGCGGTTCTGCGGAAAGCTGACAGAGGGCCCGAGACTGGTTAAAGAGGCAGGATCCGTGAAGTAGTGGGGAAAGGAAGAAGGTAGGCACTCCGGGTTTTTAAGAATCGATCCGGTAACTCTGTGCACAGACCAAGGTAAGAAATATTAAGTATTGCCTTGGGGGTCGGGTATCTGGTGTATGGTAAGCCCTTGCACGGGGAAGTGCTGGCACTACACCAGGGGAATCTGGTGTACGGTAATCCTTGCACGGGGAAGTGCTTGGAAGTACACCAGGGAATCTGGTAAACTCAGGTGTGCGGTAACGCTGGCACGGGGAAGTGCTTGGCGGTACACCCCCATCTTTCAGTACGTTGGTGTGTGGTACACTGCAGAAGGGAAAATTCTGTAGCACATACTGGTGAGGGTTAGGAAAGATGGGAAGCACGAGTTCCAGGGAATCTGGTAAACTCATAGGTGTGCGGTAACGCTGGCACGGGGAAGTGCTCGGCGGTACACCCCCATTTTTCAGTACGTTGGTGTGTGGTACACTGCAGAAGGGAAATTTCTGTAGCACATACTGGCGAGGGTTAGGAAAAATGGGAAAATATGAGTTCCAGGGGACAGGGAGATATCCCTGGGGGAGTGCCTACTAATAGTTCTTCCTGAAGAATGATAAGAAATTGGAAACATAATCCCAAAATTAGAGGGATTGTAAAAGAAAAATAATTAAAAAAAAAAAAAAAAAAAAAAAAAGGTTAAATATTGTGTATCAGTCTGGACAAAAGAACCAATTAAGGAAACAGCAGTATTTTGGCCAAAATACGGGTCTGGTGAAAATTCAGGCTTTAAATTTATGTGCAAACAAGAAGATTCCTTTTTCAGAGAAGGAGCCAAGTTATGCTCCCTATAATCTTAATATTGAACTGGTGGCAGCAGCAGTCACTCCAGGAAGGGAGACAGGGACTATAATTAACACTGTCCCTAAAAAAAGTATCGTACCCTAGGCTCCAGCAAGAATTAGAACAAGGTAGAAGAGATATTGAGAATTTTGCCTTCCCTGATACTAACAGTACTAACACTAACTGTGTATCCTCTTAGGTGAACTACCCCCTCCTCCTTACCAGCAGAGAGGTTAGGACTTTTAAGAAGGAGAGGAAGTCTTTATTCGAGGACCCCAACAGCCTAGTTGAACAATTAGACCAGTTCCTATGACCTGATTTATACTCTTGGGGGAGGGAATTATGTCTATAAGTATGTTGTTTACAGGGAAAGAAATGGGAATGATCAGGAGGAGAGCTGCTATACAAGAATGGGAAAGAGCTCATCCTCCAGGACCAGGGGTAATACCGGCAGGGCAGAAATACCCACTTGCCAATCCTGGCTGGAATAATAATAGTGTGCAACACAGAAATCATATGAGAGACTTGGGGTCAGAATGAGAAAGTACTTGGGGATGAGACCTGAGGACCCAGTAACCCAAGGGCTCTTGAAAGTTCATTGTGTGATTAAAGCCTGGCAAAATACTCAGAAAATGATTCAGAAGGTGGGGGGATGTAGTGAACAGTCACTGGGGGACCCTCCTGCAGGAGGCCCTGGAGGTGTGTGTCCGAAGGGGAGATAAGAAGGAAAAAAAAAAAAAAAAAAAAAAAAAAAAAGAGCGAAACTAATGGTATTGACAGTGCAGCGGGTAGTGAGGCAGAGGGTTTGAGAAAGAGGAAGAAAATCTTCAGGGAGAGTCAGGGCCAGGATGGAAAGGAGAGGAAGAGAGATGAAGGAATGGCAGGCAAAGAAGGCTGCCTGTGTTGTGGCCTGAGTCCTAGCAGGGACAGGCTTTGATAAGATGTTTTAAGTGTGGCCAGGCTGGCCACTTCGAATAGGAATATCCAGAGTGGAAGAAGGAGGGAAGAAGGAAAATGGGATGAAATATGCTATATTGATATGTTGTTTATCTTGGAGG